CTGGGTTTGGTTTGCTCTTCCTTTTCTAAATGTTGAAGGTGCAGCGTTAGGGTGTTTATTTGTTCCCCTTCTGTTTTCCTAATGTGTGAGTTCACAGGTATGAGTTTCCCTCTGAGAACTGCTTTCATTGTATTCCATAAGTTCTGATAAGCTGTGCTTGAATTTTCATTGAATTGTAGATATTGTTGAATTTGTTGTTTAATTTCATCTGTGACCCATTGATTGCTGAGTAGAGGGTTGTTTAATTTCCATGTATTTAGGTTTTTTTTTTTTTTTCTGTTTTCTTATCTCATTTATTTTCAGTTTCATTGCACTGTTGTCAGATAATATGCATGGGATAGTTTCTGTTTTTTTGCATATACTTAAGCATGACCTATGGTCTATTTTAGAAAATGACCCATGTGCAGCTGAAAAACATGTATATTCAGCTGTCATTGGGTGGAATTCTGTATATGTCCACTAAGTCCATTTGTTCCAAGGTCTGGTTCAGTTCTGCTACTTCTTTGCTAATTTTTTGTCTGGTTGACCTATCTTTTTTGGGATAAGGGGATGTTAAGATCTCCTGTTAAGATTGTGGTATTGGATATTAGATTTTTTTTTCCATAATTTTATTGAGAAACAAATAGCAGTGAGACAGTTTCAACCAAATTGGTAAGATAGTTTCAATAATTAGCACATTGCATATATTCTTCCTAGTGGTTAATTGCTGTACAAGATGCGGACATGATATCCTATTTACAAACACTATTAGAACAAATCCCTCTATTCATTAAGAGAATGTAACTGTATATCTATTCTAACCATTTTGAATACACAGATACAAAATGGACATTCATCTGTATCCCCTTTTTTGTTTAGTTCCGCTATTCGAATATTATGCATTGGGTATTAGATTTTTCATGTCCATTAAGATTCGTCTTATAGTTGGGTGCTCCTGTATTTGGTGCATATACATTTATGAGTGTTACCTCTTCCTCTTGAATTTTTCCCCTAACCAATATATAGTGGCCTTCTTTATTTTGTTTGATCATTCTTTGTTTGAAGTTGAGACTGTCTGAGGACAGGATTGTTACCCCTGCTTTTTTCTGAGGTGCTGGGGTGTGTAGTATTGTTTTCCATCCTTTGACTTTCACCCTATTTCTGAGTTAAGTCTGTTTCTTGTATACAGCATATTCTTGGATTGTGTTTCCTAATCCAGTGTGCCAGTGTATTTCTCTGAATTGGTGAATTGAGTCCATTTACATTAGTGGTTATAATTGGGATTTATTGATTTACGATTAATGTGTTATTTACCAGCTGTTGTGTACTCCTTATTGTCCTGTCTTTAATTGTTTGCTCTATTTAGTGGTTCCTTCTGTTCTTGTTCGTGGAATTCTGAACATTTTGGTCCTTCTCTAGAACATCTTTCAGTAGTCTGTGTAGAGTTGGCTTTTTCATCATGAAATTCTTTAGTTCTTTGTCATGGAAGTATTTCACTTCTCCATCAAACTTG